CGCCACTGGTGACGCCTCCTGATTTAGGATCTGATATACCTCGGTCCACTTGCTCGAAAATAGTCAAATACCATGGGCACATCTATATTTACACTGTGACTGACTGGGAATGGACGGTGGACTGGGAAACGGTGTTCCTGAATTGAACTAACGCATTTTTCCGTGGCTTCTAGTGGATGGTCCACCATAGCACAACGGTCGTATAGTCGGATCGATTCAGTTGCTGACTCCTGGCAACCAATCCAATTGATGATGACCTTGGCATGTGCCACTACATTTGTTTGTAGTGGTGCGGATCGAAGATCAATTCTCCAAACGTCAAAAATCGTTGATCCAATTAACCTGTGACCTGTGGATCGTAGACCTCCCGAGCGACCCTCCGAGCGCGCGAGCGCAAGTTGGGACCGGAGCGCCCGGCGTTGGCACAGTGCGCGGCAATCATCTCCTGCTGGCCTGAACAACATTCATTTTGGTACTCTTCAATGAGTTCTTTAACTCGTTTCTGTGGTATAGTCGGTATGGTTTTCGAATCCTCGCTTTCCATGATTGTTATAGACTTCGTTTTTGAGGTCAAAATTTTGCCACTGAGTCCAGTTTAACTTCCGATAATCTTCGCACTACTGGAGAACTCCATGGGCTAATGGACGGTTATATTATTCCATTACATTCTGTGGCCGATATTAATTTTCTTGGTTCTTCCCTAATGGGCAGTGGAATCCTACGTGTTGACCTGTGTCATTTATATACCTAACAAAAGCTGTTCTTCCTGTTAATTTATCCAAAGCATTGCAGTGCCAAAACTTTTCTAACAAGGAAGAATCTTTTATCTTTTGATAGTAGATGAACCCAATTTTGTAACTGTAATCTTTCCAAAGGCTCAGGTTCCACACGCTGATTACTCATTTGTGATTCATTTCACTCGCATTTTACAACCATAGAATACTCTTGAAACTGTCCAATTTGTTCGGATAATTTTATTCGTTAAAGTTGGGTTTAAAAACATTACTGGTATCTGTCCATCTTCAGTAGCATGTAGAAGAGCCTTTCCCAACAAAACGTTTTTAGATTTCTTTCCAACGGACTCGACAACCACTAACTTTTCATCTCCATCCCTTCGACATAACTTTATCCACACACATGCTTGAAAATTGCCCACATAGCCGTCGTCTCTGCTTGCACTAATAGGCAGTTCTACATTTCCATAGCTCAGAATTTTTTTTGGTAAATTTAGTTTAAAGCCATAACTGATCATGAAATATTCTGCAATAATATTATTGTCTACGAAATCAGGAACTTTGTTTTAACCGCAAATCATTTGCAATTCCATGATTTTTGTATATCAAGGCGCGTCTTCACCTGCATCCGTTCGCAGTCCAGTCGTATCCCACTCAAAAGTTCCCCATTTCCATTACCATTTCCACACTTCCGTCCAAAGTCATTACCAACTCGGTTCCATCCATTATGTCTCTGATAGTAAGGTTCTTCGAGTTTTACACAAACTGGGAAACAAGAATTGTGTGACAGTCCAAAGTATGAGTCAGCATAAATTTTGGATCTGATACAGTAAATATACCGATATCTGCTCCGTTCAGTGCGTATTAAGCGAGTGATTCGATGTAATGAGAAAGCCGAGACGCTGATTCTAACTGACCGAACGAAGCGAATACCAAGTCCCAACAAATCGATTCGTTGCTTGTTCATGCAGAGCTCTAGTACTATGTACCCTCCCTTTCGCATTCTAAGCCCGATACTCATATACTTTTGAATTGGTGCATACATACTGTATATATGCAACGCGGTAAGATCATAGACTTTCTACATTTCAACCAGGAATTACTCATACAAAAGCTTTCCGTAAAACAAATAGGAAATATTTTTCCCATTCAGATATCAAAACAGGATACGAATTAAAGTTATTTTATATTTATTCTTGCATAAACATTTGAGCTATAAAGGATGTCATAGAACATCTACGAAAACTTTGTCATAACCATTGCATTGAATCCAAGAAAATTTTAAAAGATAATCATTTGTCCCCATTGTAAGTCAACTTTACTGCAGATATTTGGCAGTAATTAAACCAAGACGGAATGTATTTTATGAACAAAAACAAATATATTACATGCGCATACTGTATATATAGGGTGTGTTGTGGAAAGATTACAACATATGATTCAAATTATACTTCAATGACATCACGTAAGGAAATATTATACAATTAAAATAAAGGGTTTAACAAATATCTTCAACTGAACATTTCAATACTTTTCTTTTAGTGCAAGCTTTGATGAATACACCAGTACATTATATATTGACAACTGAGTACGAGAAGCAGTTGGAAATCTAAAATTGAAATATTTAATTGGCAGTTACTCTGCTGTTCATGTAGAATTGTTGTGCAGAAAGCAACAATGTCAAAACATAAATGCATGCTGCGATCCAGCAGTTGTAGGCGTTCTGAAAAAAAAACCGATAACTGTTACAACAACAAAAACATTACTGGTTCAACGCAAATATGCGTTACGTACATACGTACATATGATATATATGTACATAGAAATAGTTAAATTCCATGTAAATATATATTTATGTGTGTATATAACGCTCTGGTCATGTACATATGTATGTAAATGTCAAGTACTCCGATTTATCCCGTGATATGAACTAACCTGATTGTACGCTCTATTCGCAGCTGCATAAAAATCTTCCAGAGAATGGTACTCCTCATCTAGGGGCAAATCCTCAATAAGGGCAACACTATTAATGTAGAAAAACAGCCCCATCAGCACCTAAAACAAAAGTAATTTAAATTTGTAGAATAACTCATGACTATAAACTGTAACCTTGTGACTTTCAAGTGTGACCACAAACACAGACATTCAGCTGAAAGAACCAACGTACTCACCAGTTGAACAATTCCCCAAACGGAGATAATCAAACCACAAAGGGATAATTTTGGACCACAGATTTTCATTTTGCCGACTTTTGGTTTAGTTGTACGTAAATTTTTGGCAAAGCTCAGAAAATTCTCATCAAACACAGAAAAACTCGTCAGGTGAATATCATGTGACCTAATTTCAGTGTCACCGTACATAGAAAAATGTTAAATACTGCTGGTAATAGTTTTGGTATATTTTTACGGATACATTTTTTTCAGGTAGTTTCCAGGGGTCAAAGATCATAAAATGTCTGGAGTTTTCAATTTCACCTTATATATAGATATCACAGAAAGTTGCCAGAAAACTCAAGAATATGCATAAAAAGATACATTTTACGCTACAGTTTAAATACAACTCAAAATTTTCTTAGCGCTATTGAAGTCAAAATGTTGAGAATTTCCACAGTAACAAGTAGACACAGACAAAAGAACGTAGTGCATGACAATATCAAATCGTTAATTCGACTCGATGACTCCATAGAGTCTGGGATCCATGCTTCTGCGCGGTTCCAATATCTGATCAGATGCCGTCTAAAGAGAAGGTGTAGATTAGTTTTGTACAGTATCTAGTCTATTGGAACCTGAAACAATATCACTACAATAGTCAATATAAGCTAAATAATACAATAGTCAATATAAGCTAAAATACTAATATAGGTAGGCTGGCTTTGCAGGGCTTGTGTTTAAACAATTTTTTGCATGGTGTGATATGTATATGAAAGCCCGTATACCGAATTTTGAAACTATGGATACTGATCAAGAATATACAAATATAATACTAATATTAAAGATTTTTTTTAGATATATCTATTTATATCTTTTGTGAATATTGGTAACAAAAGACATAAATAACATACATATATTGTATTCATTACATAAATAATATGCTCACAGATATACTGATTGAATAGGAAAAGTAGAGCCTTTGCAGATATAGTGCCATCCATCAAGTGCAAAACTTTCCCATTTGATTATATTATTATTATTGCGTTATTATTATACAAAAAATCTTAAAACTTAAACATTAAACTTAAGCTTTCATAACAGTCTTTTACATATGATAAGACTAAGCTAAAAAATGTTTAACATAAAAGAAATAGCTTTCATAGCAGTATTTTCCTTTCATTGTAGATCAAACTAGTATATAAAAAAAGTACTTTTTGTCTATGCTTTGCACAAATTAGTTAAATTTATTCTATTACTTTTTTGAGATAATAATTAGCAGGAACGGAAGAACGGCAAAAATTGCATTGCAGTTCAATATTTCAACTATATTTTAAAGCTTATTGTCTTCTTGTAGGGACCAAGAATAGGTATCAGGATCGAGATATATGTATGTATATACAAAACACTCATCATATACATGAATATGTCTAAAAAATGTCAATTTGAGAAAAGGTCTTTATTAGTTACGTTTTATCTTCAAATAAATATTTATACCTTCATATAAAATCAACAAAATAGAGTATACAAAGGCCTATACTACGGCTTACACGCAATATAGCGATCGTTTTTTTGTTGAACTTTTTCGTTTAAACCTTTCTTTACAATAAATACAATAAAAGCAAGGATTAAAAACTATCCAGTCTTGTAGACAATTTATTCATCAATGGGAAAAAACCATGTGGGCGTTGTTGAGAGATTTAGTTAGTCAGCATTATTCAATGGAATATCAAAATTGAGCAATTTCCTTTTTCGTTTGTCTTGATTTACCTATTTCGCTACTTGTTTTTGTTTGACTTATTTCGCTAAAACCTCTTTTTACGCATAATGCAATAAAAGCAAGTATTAAAAATACACCAGTTAAATAGAAAATTGATTTATCAATCGTATAAAATTATGTGGGCATGGCTAAATGTTCTATATAGCTAGTAATATTCGACGGAATATCAAAAACGAGGAATATGTAAAATATAACTTGAATTCGTCAGTATATTTACGGTATATTTTGAAAAATAGGCGGTATGTTTCCGCATATTTCTGAGGGTTCGACGGTATATTTTATCGATAACTCCGCAGTCACACTGATCCCTAGCTACCTAAATATAAAAATAGTTCCAACGAAAACAAAAAAGAATACAATTAAGAGTTCTAGTGTACTAAGAGTTCTAAAAAGTGCGCACTCGACTACCCACTCACAACTATGTCAAATTAATTAATTAATTATTAGTATAATTAAGACAACCATGCCAACAACTTTGAAGATTTATCATGAGAAGCAAACAAGGCAGTTATGTGCGCTCCACGCTCTTAACAATCTATTTCAAGGTATGATAGTTACCTTTTACTGTATTACGCTTTTAAAGGCATTCTGATACATGCAATTTTATTGCCAGAAAATATTTACCAAAAGGCAGAACTGGATAATATCTGCAGTAACTTAAGTCCAAACGCGTGGATAAATCCTCATCGATCTCTTCTGGGACTCGGAAATTATGATATCAATGTTATTATGACTGCCTTAGAGATAAGACATTGCGAAGCCTTTTGGTTTGATAAACGAAAAGACCCGTCTTGCATTGACTTGGATAAAATTGTGGGGTTCATACTTAATATTCCATTAGATTACAAAATCGGCGCAATAACATTACCAATACGAAAGAGACACTGGATAGCTGTACGTCGCATAGGTCAGCACTACTATAATCTGGATTCCAAACTTCGACAGCCTGAATTGTTGGGCACAGAATCCGACGTGCTCCACTTTTTGCGGGAACAGCTTAAGGAAAAGGAACAGCAGCGAGAACTTTTTCTTGTACGTTATCGCAGCGACTGTAATGAATCACCACAGCGATGGATAGAAGAATCGCACGACATAAATAAAACAGCAGATTGAACATGATCTTTTACATCTAAGTTTTCTTGTCGACGAAGTGAACTTGGGCAGCCCCACATAATGCGTCGTGTTTAAATTGTAAAAAGATTAAGTTGTTGTTAGGCATGGACAGGAAATAATAGTACTTTAGTATAAATTAATTTTATAAGAAACATCTCTGTAAGTTTTTTCAAATCTGCATCATAGTACTTGAGAATAAAATAAAACTTTAAGTTTGAAATGTTTGTAGAATTTATTTCAAGTTCTGTTCTTAAAATATTTGTAGTAAAATTTGAAAAAATAAGCATTAATGGACGGATGTTTCAATAATGTTTGATTACATCTAGCGACAATATAATTGCTGGAGTTAATCGAGCTAATATTATTAATCTAGACACGGTACTAAAAATGAATTGATATGTTTAGATTAGTTGAGTCCTCTTTAACGGTTATATATCTGTTTGGATTCCTCCCTGTGGCTGGGTATTTGGTGTACGTCCAGGCTGAGGACGACGTGGGCGGCTTGGCTCTGGTGCAAAGTAAGATTGAGACGGTGATGGAGCAGTGGGGGTCGTCGCGACGTTTGCCTGGTGCTGATAGTAGTCATCTCCATATTCTCGGTTACTTATTTCGTTGAGGCGCTTGTAGCGCTCGCGTCGAGCTTCAATCATGTAAAGTATTCCTCCAGGTAGCAACAACACAGCGCCAACCACGCCCAACGCGAAAGACCAGCCCATGTCATTGTTCTGCCATCCAGGCATCCAGTCACGAGAGTCTCCCTTGGCACCGAAAATGACCACGGCAATAAATCCGAAAATTGAGCCCAACACTTGGCAAGTTCCAATGGTCAGTAGCAGCACAACATATCTATCATCGTCGCGAGAAGTCCGTAAAAAGGCCAGTGTAAGGGGAAGGCCAATAAGGCACATGACGAAGCACAGCGTTGCAAATAGCTGCACCGCTATATAGAATCCCGGTAGTAGAAAATCATGAATGATGTAGTATTCCTCTTCAAAGACCCACATGCATCCATTGAAAGGGTTGTCGTAGAAACGGTGAATATCCTGAAAATCGTTGAAGCACACTTCCCATAGCCCTAGATTGGTAAAGCGTGGCTTTTCTAAACGACCATCTGTAACCAACCAATAGGGGGTTGAAAACGCAATAATAAAAAGCAGAAATGAAATCGCGGAAATGCAAAGAGCCACTTGCGTACTACGGTTTGACGCCCCCATTTTGGAACGCGGGATTTGTTTGACTATACAAACGAAAAACACCCAACCCAAGAAACCTTTGCGTCATAAAAACAACACACGCCCTTTAGTGTAACCGTCCCAAAAAAAAAATACCGCTTATCAAATCTTAAAATACTAATTAAATTAAAATTAAATATTTTTAATGATTTTCCTTAACAGTATTTTTTATACATACTTTCTAAAATTAATTTTTATTTATTTTCTCCCTTAGAATTCATTAAGATAAATTTTTGAACACAATATTAATCAAGTGCTGACTACTACATCACCGTATTCGCTAACTTCTCTGTTACTTACTTCGTTGAGGCGAAACCAACGATGTTTCCATTTCTTGATACCAGACGTCCAAGGAATTTTCGTTGTATAAACTGAATTGTGTGCTTTATAGTGGTGTATTGCGTATCTTCTTGTTAAAGCTGCATTTGCCTATTGACGTAACACAACTGAACGATTAATTTCAATGCACAGCGCATTGTTTCAGTGTAAAGCGCATGAAGCAGACTCTGTTCTCGGACACAACACTACCATCGGAGGATCCGCTGTGTCCCATCTGCTGGGCCAAGTACGGCAGTATTCACGCCCTGCAGGCATTATTTGTGCGACTACATCGACTGCATCATGCAGCAGATGCTGAACTCCGAGGTGTGTTTCTATTGCAAGACCCCCATTCAGACGATTGAAACTTTGATGGCACACTCATATATTCCAACAACGAGGGCTTTCATTCGCCCCTAACCGAGACAGCTTAAGACCCTGGCCTCAAACCCCACCGATGTCAAACCAAAGACACTCCTTTTGAAAACACCAACTAAGTCTAGTCACTGTTATAGGACAACCTGTGGCGCTTAAACGGTAGATAGTTATACTATTTGTATATATGTATAGTCCCTAAATATATTCGTTCAGTAAAATATTATTTGGCTTGTATGCCGTCGAAAAATTAGTTAAGTGATGTACCGAAGAGGCAATGTAAGAAGAAAATAAATAAACTAAGTAGCACAAAGTATTACATTATAATATTCGTTTTCCTGATTCCTTAGGCCATATAAAATAAAAAAATGTCAATCGTATCACAAATGTCAAAGTAATTTTAATACCATATTAAATTAAATTTGCATTCATATACTCTCATAAACTGATGACGAACCCAATTTTTAAGCATATTACGGGCCTCCCCCTATTATTTTTGATACTTGAAGTCGCGGTATTTATACCAAATTCGTACGAAATCCGAATACCAAAAACGTATTGTTGCCACTTCGGGAAAATATTAATTTGTTTGTGTGTGTTCGTTCTGCGTCCCGTCCCTTTGTTTTGTACTTTAAAAAAGTTGTTTGTACATACGAATACAATTGGGAAAAATGCGTGGTTTTTGCATTTAAATCAAACCAATTTTTTCAATGATTGCCGAAAGTTTGAGATAAATTATTTCATTTAATTCGCGATACTTAGTTTCTTTCTACTGGTCGAAGGCTCGCACGCCGACATCAACCGCATCAATATGGCTTCCGCTTCGGAAATTGAAAAAACATTGGTCGTAAACATTGGAAACTTTGAGAGAATCCAAAACTTTCTAAACGACAAGGAAAGGTATAAGGAGATACTAGAAAATAGCGAGAACTTCAACACGCGACTTTGTATCGAAAGACGTCTTCGAATGCCATTTCTTGACCCCCAGACCGGTGTTGCGCAGACACACTGTGCCCTCTTCATGAAAAAGAAACAGCGTATGCCAGGATTCCGCCATGGACAGATTTATACGTACCCATCAACTCGTTGGCGTAAGCCGAAGCGACAGTATTTACTAAACCCAAATCATAGCTACCGTGCCTATCAGTACCGCGAGCACCATCTTTCCCACTCCCACCACCAACAGCATCAACAACATCACCATCACCATGTACCAACATGTACAGTCAGTGTACGTGACCATCATCAGACTGAAAGTGCTGGTAAGGGACTATCTAAAGTCGTTTCAAAAATCAATAAAAATTTAGTTGTTCACCTTGTAAATATCATTAGGAAGGTCACTTTAGTTTGGTGAAATTTTTAAAATATATAAATCCAAATGCTATATATTTGATCATTTGGCGGTTTCACAGGTTAAAGTGAAAAACTTAACTGAGTAAAACTACGCTCGATTATTATATTTATTTTTTCTTTCAGCTATTGCTGCTACGGACGGCAATTCTATGGGGGCTTCGGGAGACAATGATAGTAAAGATTCACATGCAAATGCCGAAAAGGAGTGGTTCCACGACGAGATAGACTCTTCCCACTACCATCATGGCGGCGACGACTATGAAGATGACTTTGATTCTGATAACGATTTCGATGAGTCTTACAGTAATAGGGGAAAACGCAAGCGGAGCTCACGGCCACGGCGGTCCAATGCAAATGTAGAAGGTACTCCTAAGCGTGGTCGCAAAGGCGGTGGTAAGTAACTAATTTCATGAGCTTGGACACTACGATCTCTGAATGTGCTTATTGTTGCAGGCAGTCGTCGCAAAAACACTGCTGATGGGGAAACCGATCGGAGACGTCGAGGCGGTGGAAATAGCGGAAACACATCTGCAGCTGCAGCGGCTGCTGCAGCAGCAGTTGCCCACGCAGCTAACACGGCAGCTGCTGCAGCCACAGGACTCTATACATCGCATTCAAACTCAGCATCGCCCATTCCCATTAACGATGAAACCTCCCAATCGGCTCTGGTAATGCCGACCAACATTGCTTCATCTTACGACAAGACTTTAAGTGATGCAGGAGCTTCCAATGACTCGATTCCCTTGGCAACCATGGCTGGAATCGCAGGGATGGGCATAGCCGCAACATCCAACGTCTCTGCTGGACCTCCTATTTATGCTGCGGTTAACCCAACAGTACCAGCGCCAGTGGTGGCGTCTGTCGCTAGTCCTAAAAAACTCAAACTACGTGTTGAACGAGAAGTGGCGCAACCATCTCCATACTGTGACTTTTGCTTGGGCGATCAGCGCGAAAACAAAAAAACTAATATGCCGGAGGAGCTTGTTTCCTGTTCCGACTGTGGTCGTTCTGGTCATCCATCGTGCCTACAGTTCACAGCAAATATGATAATATCAGTTAAACGGTATCGCTGGCAATGCATAGAATGCAAGTACTGTTCTATTTGTGGGACATCTGATAATGACGATCAGCTTTTATTCTGCGACGATTGTGATCGCGGATATCACATGTATTGCCTATCACCACCTCTTGTTACTCCACCAGAAGGATCTTGGAGCTGCAAGCTTTGCATGGAAGAATTTCACAAGAACAAATAAACAACGATAATTACAGATTCCAATCACGAATGGAATAATGCAAATGCTCATAGTTTCCGAAAAATGCAAAACTGCGAGTCCTCATTCATTTAGTCGCGTCATAAATATTTAAGCCAGGATTTTAATTTAATTATTACGTTAGGTATTTGTTTTACTTACGTGTATCAATTTTTATTTTTACAACTAACTATGCCTAAGTGAAGTCCTCAAGTATTTTTCTAAGTATTCTGCGCAGCTTTGAAAATTTGTTTGTAAGTAACTTGTGTCCATTTATTGTCTCTAGTTTCTTTTTATTTAAAATGTATGCATATTTACAAGAAATAGTATAGAGTTCCATTTTTTACATAATCAATAAATTATGCAATTCTTCAGGCATATACATAAAAGATTGTTCCATAGTTCTTAACAGTAACACTATAGTTGAGAATTTCCAAAATGAATTTCTATGGAAATCGAAAAAGGCATGGGTGGTTGCACAAACTTTCATACATGAACAATACTTGAATAACTACCGTTCACGTTCAATCGGAAAATATGTATGCACATACATACATATGTATGTATTTTTGTTCATTGTTGATTTTAAATCACCAAAACTGTGCGTTTTATGAATGTGTTCTTTCCGATCAGTTTGTACAGTTGTTCAATAAGCTAGATTCAATTCGTATGATTTTATTCATTTGAATAGTCGGTGAACAGTTGCTGACAGAGATGAAAAAGAAGGCGAAATAAAATTGAATCCAAATTTATTATTAATTAATTAATATTAATAATAAAAAAAAAAAAATTATTTAAAATATATACTAGTGGGCCCTGCCACGCTACGTTGTGGCGCACATTGTGTTAGAACGGATATGAAATGAACAAAACCCTAAACCTTTCAAATGCAATACCTGTGGGTATAAAATATTTTTTGATTTGCCGATATTGAGTTTCCCAATATTCCGCTTCCGTTGCCGAATTCCCCTTCAAATCCAGTGGATCCCGCTACGTCTCTGTGTGTTAAGTCTACTTCTCTCGCGTACGGATTCCCGTTCTTCCTCGGTCACATTCGAACGCTGTCTTCTCAGTCCTTTTCTGTTACTACCTAAAAGAAGTTTTTATTGCGAGTCATTAACTTTTTCTGACCGAATCTGATCTAAGACTGACTTTATTTTGGTATTCATAGGTTCATTTTTTAACTTGGATGCATATTCTTACCGATTTTTCAAAATAAATGCTGCCCCACTTATTTGATTTAAACCTTTTTCACGTTGTCTGGTTCGTGCTTTGTGGGGGCGGAACGAAATTTTGAAATACATATGTTGCATGTATGTAACAGTGTTATATCAAAGAAGTCTGGATACAAAATATTGTTTCTCTAGCTCGGACGATCGGTCGGACGGTCTCAAAGACATAGCCATATCGACCCGGCTATCGATGCTGACCAAGAATATGAATGTTTATTTTGTATACCACCACAAAACTAATTTTTCCCTAAGTTCTCGAGTACCGCGTATAAAAATTGTTCCACGAACTGCCATTTGGCATAATCGTCGTCTTCTTTGCGATTTATTTAAAAACGTTTTGTTTCTGAAATGTTATGTTTGGATGGATTATTATAATGAAAACTAATTTTTAGTCATACATTTCACATTTGGTTCGTATAGATTCATTATGATTTATTGATCCGATCGGCTCAAATTCTAAGTGAAAAATATCATTCAGATAGATTTTGAACTGAGAATAGTTTTAATAGAAAATATGACGAAATTATTATATTCACTTCTTTTTCCGAACAAGACTATTTTCTTACTCCTTCTGACCATTGAACACTTCTTTCCAATATTACAATAAATTATTTACCACCTACATTGACCAATTGAACCAAAACCATTCCGTAGTGCGCAAATTTTCCATAACTTGTGGGAAAATGGCAACCCCATACTACCTATGCCTCCAAATAGCATTTTCCGTTTTATTTATATGTATGATGCACAAATATTCATTTGCACATACATATGCATAGCTCGTTTTAAACCCATAATGGGTTATGGGTACCGTCGATTAAAATGTTTTTTTCCGTGCTCAAATTCCTATATCCGTTACACGTAACCTCTGTAGATGTTATATGCAGCTTTTGAAGCTCCGCGATCGTATTTTTGTATCATTTTCTTACACCAATTTTCTTTGACCGATGTTTAAATTGTTTGGCATCTAACGCGAAAAAGGCTATTACGCGCGGATCCCAGGCAATAGCGCAGCCCTTCTGCCGCCCAACCGACCGAGATGCGCTGCGACGCGATAACCGGACCGATCACGAACATTCAGGAAAGATAGCTATTAGAACTTAGAACTAAACTTACCAAAATAACTAAGCATGCATTCAAAATACAAATACAGTTACTAATTACAAGAAAGGTGTGTGAGTATTAGTAGTTTAATAAGAGGAAGGGGATTAGTGGTGGATATGGTAGAGGGAATTATAATCCGAGCATATGATCCTAATCGATTCATGTAAGAAATAATTCAATCCACAAAATGGAAGGAACAACGTTATCTAGTTTATAATGGATCTAATAGGAATCGTAAAGTTTATGCGGCTTAACAAACCAGGGCTATCTACGTCACCATTGATCAAGTTGTGCACAAAAATAACACTAAGCTTTTTTCTGCTATTATGAAAGATGGAAGGTCAATATCAAACTTGTATCCCCAAACTTCTGGGCGGTCCTGATGTACTTTGTACTGAGGGCGCCAAACACAAGAGCCGTTTATAGCCGAGATATAGATAGTCTTTGTTATATAGGGGTCGTCTAATTCCTTTGACCACCTCTTTATAAACTCAAGCACGACCATTTCCTTATTTACCATGTTAGAAATATGTTCAGAAAACTTTAGCTTGGCGTCTAATATAACACCACGATCATACACCAGGGTAATTCTCTCAAGAGAACCACCGCATATAGGGGCACCGGCTATAGGGGCTACTAGGCTTGCGCTTATTTGTATGGGCGAAAAAAAATGTGTCGGAATCAAAAGTCTCAGGGTCTAAAAATGTTCCTTTTGTTATAAAACAATAAAATATGTGGGAAGTGGGCGGGGCGAAGTTTTTAAGTATTCTTGTAGCAGTGACATATCACAGAAGTCTGGATCCAAAACTTCGTTGGCTTTGCTCTTATAGTCTTTGAGCACTAGGCGCTGAAGGGGACGGACAGACGGACGGACAGACGGACAGACAGACAGGGCTCAATCGACTCCGCTATTGATGCTGATCAAGAATATATGTATATACTTTATGGGGTCCGAAACGCTTCCATCTGGAGTTACACACATCCACTTTTACCACAAATCTAATATACCCCAATACTCATTTTGAGTATGAATGGGAATGAAATTGGGAGTAGCTGATCAAATTAAAAAGCCTGTTTTGATGCAACTGTGTCCAATTCTGAACAACTACAGGGCGCTATATTCCGCCTAAGGAAACTATTATAATAAACTATTATATAATAATGCCTCCCATGCAGAGATCACAGCAGTGAAATTTGCGGGAAGCATTTGAGTCATGTGCCGAAGCTACATCAGGTACAAATGTACCAAACGTGTCAGATTTAAAGATTCATGAAAAACTATTGAAAAAATCAAGTTTAAGTTTGGTGTTACTGATCAGTACTTCTGTCAAGTTAAATTGAGAAAACTCATGCGCGTACTGATTACGTTAAATCGTTAGAGTTAACTCGAATTTGTTTCGGATTGGTTCCGAAAGGTAATTTTTCCGACTCCCTGGAGGCGATTTATACCTTTAAAATATATAGTTTTCGAGAGAAGTTTAAGTTGACAACTCAAGAAGAAAAATATTTGAGCGACGTTTCTATTTTTGTAGAGCGTTCTGATATAAATTATTGGTTTCGGTCAGCATTAGCTGTTGATTCTAAACTTTCAATTTATGCAAAAAATGTACAATTATAAAGAATTTGATCCGAAAATTGCAAACCTGCAGCCTTTTGTGTTCTTTATCGGATGAAAATATCTCACTTGCATTGTTTGACGAAAACTTACTTTCATGGAGAAGCGAAAAATGGCGATGCAACTCTCGGCACTTTGTGTTGACCATGATGATGTCGAAGAAAATAATTTTCCAACGTTTATTACAAAGAGACTATCTGGTATTGTGATACCTATTTCTGCGAAATATTTTATGTTTATGATTTCCAAACGTGTTTTAACTGAAGATTCTTCAGAATGGCATAGTAATGAAGATTTTCAAAATGCTTTAGATATATTAAAACATTTAAAAGTGGCTAATGATATAGCCGAAAGTGCTGTTAAACTTATGCAAACTATAACCAAATACTAGGCAAAAAATAAATGAGTTTCAGAATTTTCTAAACGTCATTAAAGTTGTTTTATAACAAGAGGAACACTTGTAGACCCTGTGACCTTTGAAAGTTAAACTTTTAAGGGGCCTAGATGGCTGCCCTGTGCTACTCTTCAGTAACCTTGACTGGTGAAGAGAGGGAGTTTTTGAAGTACTGCCATTCCCTGGACGGCCTTCAATTTCGCCGCGCTGTCCAGCATACAGTTGATGATGTTTTCGACTGTTATAGCGGAACTCGCCGTCCGCTCCTTAGCGCATAGAGTGCAGATAAAGATTGCAGTTGTGGCAATATAGATACGTCTGCGTATTTTTCGCTCGAATATCTCCCCAGCATGCACAAGGGGCGATTGGTCGATATCGTTGGCTTCTTTATATAGCTTTAGAATGATTCCCAGCCTCTGCCCTCTCTAGAGTCCATACTCCATATGCGCGTGATTTTTACAGAGACCCATGATGCGTTGGTCTAAATAGAGACGATTAGATGGGCTGCGATAATGGTTTCTTGGGTGTGATTTGACCCTCCATCAATGCCAAGTTCCTTCTCTGCCTTGATCTTCGCAATTACTTGGACACTTCTTTCGTGTTGGTGAGGTTCTCGCCTACGCGGCTGTGAGGCGAGTGGACGGTGGCTTTCACTGGGCTCGTTGGTATTTTCTTGTGCATTGCCTCCCATCTCGTACGCCAAAGGGTTCGGCATCGAGAGCGTCGCATAGCTCTAGAAATTATTTAGCTTTACTCCTCTTGATAGTTTTCTTTAGAGCCTTAAGCTTCGATCTGAAGTCCTCTTAGCTGAGTCCGTGATCGGGATCGCCTCTAGATCTCTGGCATCTTCGTCACGCGGCACAGCAGTGGGCCGTGGCGATACCCGGGTTCCACTACGATGCCCCGCATGCCATTATTACATAGGCTGCTAGGCTCTCCGCGCAGCTATTAGCATCGCCAGATATGTATATATGTATGTATGTACATCTGAAAGAACCACTAGAGTTACAAATATGTACTTACGAATTCTGACGACTTGTATTAACAACTGCAATAATACTGTAGCCTGGTTATTTTTTCACTGTTTTGCAGTATGCTAATTGTTAAAAAAAAGTATGTATATTGACTTGAAATATCTTTCTGAGGTCAGTTATAGTACTGTCAGCGAAATGAATAGGTGTGTTTGGTCTATAGTCTTAACAATATGTCTAATTTTAGCGTTTCAAACCCAAAAAATTGATATGCATGTACGAGCTAAACGTTTCCTAATATTCCCAAGGCAAGCACCAACTAGACATCAGGTAATGTATGTTAAAGACTTCACTTTAAGAATAAATATTTGTATCAAAATAGTTTCAGTTCATTGCTGGAATAGGCATACCAGCTAATCTCGACTATGAATCGCTCACCGTCGGCTACGTATTAAAAGCCGAGTTTCATCTACCCTATAATGCTACGGTTTTTCGCCAGAACCCTTTTTTGCCCGAATATAACCACAATAAGTTTATAAATGCTGGAAAAGAAAGGAAAATGTACCAAAAGCCCACACAGCTACGCTGGAATATATACGCTTTTATTGAGTATTTACTTAACGGGTATGTTGTAATAGTCGTATGTACATGTACTAAATCCGGTTTTATTATTAAAGTTACGGCTACAATGGGCATGAGTGTCTTTTACAAGCCATCTGTGATGCCAACAGAATTGGATTTTCCAAGGACTTCAGTGTTGGAGCTGAGCTGATTCATTTAGTTTTAAGGTTCGTTTTAATTACTAAATTGATTCTTTAATACTGAAAATTATATTTATACTTACAGTCCCACATCTACTTTGAACTCTAAAAATTATATAGCGCATGATTTCATATTTGCGGAGAAAGCAAACTGCCGACGGTACGACTGCAAAATAGATCTGATTAATTGGGTTTCGCATGTCGCAAACTTGAAAATTTAAGTTCGCATGAAATGTTAATAAACTAATGTAATTATCCGAAACATTCAAAAGTAAACCAGGAAAAGAACAACGACGTTCACATATGTATACATACATATGTACATATGGTAATACCTCTTTGTCTTTTTGACATTGCTGTTCACAAAAGTGACAAATGGATTTAATGGTCAATGGAGGGAGGAGTACAAACGTACCAAACGTGCCAGATTTAAAGATTCATGGAAAACTATTGAAAAAATCAAGTTTAAGTTTGGTGTGACTGACTGCCGCGCCAAAGACATCAGCGACCACGCTGCCCTACGGTTTCAGCACGCAGACGATTCATATTTTGTTTTTGTATTCTTTCTCTCGAGACACACCGACTCGACGCTGACCGAGGCATTGACGAAGCCGAGTAGCATTTCGGAGGCGAAGGTAGCGGAAAAGAGAATTGAAGTAATAGCCCCGCGCGCCCGTACCATGAAGCGTCAAACGAAAATTGAAAAAGAATTTGTTCCTCATGCAACATCTTGGTATTGTATAGTCTTTGGTTCTAGTGCTTCCTGCTTGCCAGACAAATTTTTAAGCTTACACCGTACAATTGAATAGACTTTATCGCTAGGAAAAAAATATTGATCTTGCAGTGTTTAATGCCTCGTCATATCAACAATGATAATCTATTATCTATTTAGGGCTAGATTTTTTTTAAATCTAGTAGTAGTGGCTGTGTTCAATATTTCTTTAGAAAATTTAACACATGAATGTAACTAGGTTTTCTTTGGGCTTTCACACGAAAATTGTATTTATAAAATATTAATACATTTATTGGTACTTAAAACTAATTCCTGACCTAGGTTCGCGTCATAGGCATACATTTTTAATTTTTAAACTAATTTTCAGTTTATTTTGGAAGGAATTTATTGGTTATGGATAAGTCTTTTCCATCGTGGTTCATTCCTTCGTAGAAAAACTTTCGATTAGCTCTACAGGTAGGACCGCACCTGGTAGAACCACAGCTTGGACATTCGTACCAGCATCCATCACACTCTTCGCTCATGCAGTCGCAAATGTCTAATCCATTGTAGCGAATAATTCCATACTCATCATAAGCACTATTTTTCCCGTAATTTTGACCTCTTTTCTTTCCTTTTCGCTTGTGCTTCTCGGATTCAATAGCCACATTGTCATCATTGGATGTCTTTGTTTGTCTTTGCCGTAAGTTACGGCGAGTGGAATAATCAGGGTCAATATCTGAACTCATTTTTCAAGTTCCGAAACAAAAACAAGCTTACACCACAATGTTATATCAGCAGCTGTAATTGTGAGTACAGACTGTAATATTCGAAAAAAAAATACCAAATGAAATAATGGAACAAAAATGTATGGGTATTCCTGTAATCAATTTAGTCTTGCTTTGGCTGCTCAGATGAGTTTCATATACATTGCCAACGGCAAAGTGTGACCAGATGTACTTAAGTGGACTAAACATCAACAAAAATTTATATCTATATAAATTATAAACACTTGGTATGGAACAAACAATAGCAAATCAATTTCATCGTGAAAAAAGGTAATTTCATATCGGTTCCATGCGAATTTCATCTCTGTTTACGCTGTTTTAATCTAGCAATAGCAATAGCCGAGTCGATTGAGCCCTGTCTGTCTGTCCGTCTGTGCGCCGCTATGTGCGCATAGTGCTCAGAGACTATTAGAGATAGTGCAACGACATTTTGTATCCAGACTTCTGTGATATGTCACTGCTACAAATATATTTCCAAACTTCTCCCCGCCGACTTTCGCCACCACAAAGGGCGAAAATCAGTTGCATCAACAATTTCAAAGATACGTAAAGACAAAAAACGCAGAATCGTAAATAATGACTATATCTTTTATCTTTTTATCTTTTAGACTGCAGAATGTGAGCCAATTCGTATCATTATTACAGCCAGAATGATGAAAACAATTTAATTCTTTCTCTCTCTGTCTCTCTCTAGCACACACGTTTCATGGTCGACTTTACCTATCGCAGAAAGTGAGCGCATAGATCTCAGAGACTATAAGAGCTAGAGCAACCAAATTTGGTGTCCACACTCCTTTGATAACTTGCAGATCTTGCAGATGTTTTTTAAAAATTCGTCGCAACACCTTCCGCCTCCGTAAAGGATGAAAGCTATTGATGCTACGAGTAAACTAAAAACGCACAATTATAAGGAACCATATCTGATAATTTGTATACCTAAAATTAACAAATCAATTTGCAGTGGCTACGCAGCGCCATAATAATAAATAAATAATATTAATAATAAAAAAAAATCGTATTCTTCACGGCCTTTAAAAGAAAAAATCTTGTTCGGAAAATGCTTGAAGACCCGAAGGAGCTGCAGTCTATATTTGTATTGTTTTTTTTATAGCCAATTAGTTAGTCAATTTAAAAATATAAAATTGTGAAATTTTCACAATACAGATCAAAACTTTGTAATTTTATGCTCAGAAGTTGCTTTTTGATGGATGGTGACAGTGTGAATCGAGGTTTCATATCGTTCAAAAAATCCTACCATTCCCTCCGGGATGTGCTAAGTGTGCTGAGCTGAAGTTATAAATATAATCGGCTCAGAAAAAATCTATATTGGAACAAGCAGCCGTTTGCTTATATTTTGCTCAAATCCAAATTATAAATTAAAAATCAAATTTTGCATAATTTTTAACAGAAGATGAATTAATTTGTCTTTGCTTACGTTTTTATTCTTTTGCTCATTCTTAGCGATTGTCGGCTATCGATATAAGCCAAAAGCATTGCATTATATCACTAACCATACAGTATATAGATGTGCCAGTTCATACAACGAAAGCGTCATACTGTATGGTTATAGGCTCTGCACACTGAGCCCATCCCGGGGGAATGGTGGGATTTTTTGACAGATGTGAAACTCCGAATCACACTGCCACCATCCACCATCCGTCAAAAACAGCTGATGCCAATAACAAGTTCATTAAATTTGCGCGGAAGATTTATTAATTCTTGGTTCTTATAATGGATGATGAAGATATAGCAATTATTTCGGCTGTGGTTTAGCACTTCCAACAGATCATTTTGAAATTTCGTTTGTGTGCTGATTAGGTCCTGCACCATCTTCTCCTGCCTCACGTCGTGCTCTTCCTTCTTTCTGTGGTGGTCCTTCTGTTCTTCGAGACGTTCCCGGGCGATCTCTGCCAGCCACGAAATGTCGGTCTTTTTCTTTTTCTTTGGCGGACGCCCAGACAAGGTGCTGGAGCTACAAGATCCGTCCAGGTCCATCTCAATAATATCCGAAAAGTACTCATCAGGATCTGCAATGAACACCTTAAATGAAATATATTTTTTTAGCAATAAATTAATAAAACTTACTGTCGTTGTCCAATGTGCTCTGCTCCATGTTGTTTATCCGGTAGCACCCCAGAAATGAGTTTAATTTATCGTAATGTTGCCACCCAGATGGAGCACCCCCGCTCGGTCCAATTTATATATTTTTTGGTCATGTTCTCGAGCTTTGTCCTTATCTCGCCCCATCCAAGCTCAAGCCCAGCCTCCTTAATGGACTCGGCCATCTCCATGTACACATGTGAATTTTTGCGTGGTCCGCGCAAATCTTCAATTTTCTCCTGCCATATGTCAATCAGCAGGCTCTCAAGCGCGGCACTCCATTTCACCCTGCCGCCTGCTGTTGTTCTCTTGTTTGCTGCATTGTGTAATAATATTATATATTATAAACAATAAAAAACAAATATATCTATTCAACGTACCTGTTCGGGCGAAGCCCGAGTGTAAATTTTATACCATTGTTTTATTGCCTATCAATTCACTTTCTTTTCTATTTTGGTCATTATACTAAACTAACGTAACGTAAGCGTAGCTTTATCTATGCTCGCTCAGCAACATGCTCTCATTTAATCATCTATTCTTATCTATGCTCGCTCTTGTTATCTTTTCTTTCCTATGCCGTCGCTAAGCCGTCAGCAGCTGCGCCTGCTCTAACAGTTACCGCTTGATATAGTTGGAGAACAGACCCTTTTTGTCCCCAATCTATTACTTTGGCTCGAGATCGGCTCGCTTGCCTCATCCAAGTGTGTCACTCTAATACTATTGTAAAAGGCTCTGGCATCTTCGGCCACCCTCAACACACAAAATACCTATAATAAAATTTATAACGTTTTCGGAAATTAATAATTTGTGAAATTATTGAACAATCATAGTCAGCGAAAAAGCTCGTTGTCTCAACATTTGGTGACCCCGACGTGATCGTCAGTAACAATTTGGAAATAAACAATTATAAACAGTGAAAATTATCCGCTAAACATAACTGTTCGAACGCGAAGCGGTTAGTTCCCATTTCGTCGCGCGCTTGCTTACAAGCACTAATACAGCTACGTGCATTAGCGGCTTCGGGTTCGCTGCACTTGCGCTTGCATACCAAAAAAAATCAAATGGTTGGTTCTTCTATTCTTCTTTGTGCTTTGCTCGCTGCTGCCTGTCGAAAATGGATGAGTCTAATGACGTGCCGGAAAACAGGGTGTCTTTTTACAAACTAAAGGCACTCTCAATATACAACAAAGCCGTTTCACTTCGAGAGACGATATTGAATGATGAAAACAACCCAATCAGTGAAGATGCGCTAAGTGTTCATTTAAAATTCTTGGAAAAAATATCCGACTCATTTAATGTTACTCATTCTAATTTAGAAGAGCTTGATGTAAGCGAAATTGGCAGCGACTTAAGCAACAATTTTGAGGATTTGGCGATGGAAATCGAAGTTCGTATTCGCTCAGCACTCCGCAGGACTACCCAGAACATGCCGCATCACTCAACGATACGACCCGAGCTCAACGTTACTGCCTCCGGAAATGTACGGTCACGATATCATATTCCTGACATTAAACTTCCCACTTTCCGTGGAGGTTATACTGAGTGGGCAGACTTTTACTCGATGTTTAGCACAGTAATAGATCAGGAGCCCTTTCTATCAAAGATTGAGAAGTTCCAGCACCTGCGCTCATGTTTGGATGGACCTGCCCTGGAGGCTGTTCGCTCTTTGGAAGTATCGGAGAGCAATTATGATATTGCATTGGACATTTTAAACAATCGTTTCAATAATAAACGTTTAATCTTTCAGGCACACGTCGCTGAGATTCTGAGGCATGAGAAGGTTGAAGATGGGTCAACTACAAAGCTACGTACTTTATCGGACAAGCTTCATTCTCACATGAGAGCGCTTAGATCGATGGGTACCATGGAGGAAATAGCTGGATGCATCATCGTTCACTCCACATACAAGTATCTCGACTCTGATACCAGGACCAAATGGGAGGAGCTGTCACCCCCTAACGTCATACCAACATGGGACCATTTTTCGGCTTTTTTGGAGAGGAGATGTCAAGCCATGGAGACCATGGATCAAGCTATGTCGATTCAAATCCATAGCAGTCAGGTTGGAAAACATAAACGAATCACTCATTCAAAACACAGTCTTGTTGCTACAAATACAATCGTATTGGAATGCGTGTTCTGTGATAATAAAGGGCATAACATTTACAGCTGCACTCGCTTTGGAAACCTTTCGCCATCTTTGCGTCTTAGAGAGGCAAGGAAGCTTAGAGTTTGCTTCAACTGTTTGAAGAAGGGACATCGGAATACCTCCTGCAGTTCAGGCTCTTGTCGCACATGCGGTGAAAAGCATCATACCCTTTTACATATCAACAATCCGCTGCCTACGTCAGTTAACACGGAACCTGCAAACGCTACTACGTCTCCTATTCAGACAGACTTATGCCCAGGCCCCAATCTTTCAAGTTCTCTTGTTGCCGCTTCATCACCATGCTCGCCTCCTGCTCAGAATCTTAGCTCAGACGTAGTGCTTCTAGCCACGACAGTCATTATGATAAAGAGTCGAGTTGGTGATCTTCTTCCTTGCCGGGCTCTTCTGGATTCAGGCTCTCAGATTAATTTAATAACCTCTCGCTTTGCTCAGAGGCTTCAGCTGAAACGAGCCAAAGGGTCGGTATCAGTATCGGGTATCGGCGCTGATTCTGCATTTCACACGGAAGGTTCAGTTAATTTGGTCATTCAATCCAGGACTTCCGATTACTTCACGAGTCTCACAGCTCTCGTTGCTCCACGTATTACAGGAAACCAGCCTGCTTCTTCATTTGATGTATCCAAATGGGAAATGCCATCCAATATCAGCCTTGCTGACCCACACTTTAACAAATCTCAGCGCATCGATGTACTTATTGGAGCCAGCTTATTTTACGACATTT